GAGACTGAGAAAAACATAAGAATAACAAAAACCCTATTCTCATAGGGCTTATTCTAGTAGTGGAAAGATAAAATAGGTAGGATAGATAGATTGACAAATAGATGATGATAGATAGATACGCCTTAAAAAAATATATACGGAGATGGGCTGGAATTTTTTTTTTTCATTTATTTTTATTAGTTGGAGGCTAATTACTTCACAACATTTCAGTGGGTTTTGTCATACATTGACATGAATTAGCCATGGATTTACATGTATTCCCCATCCCGGTCCCCCCTCCCACCTCCCTCTCCACCCCATCCCTCTGGGTCTTCCCAGTGCACCAGGCCCGAGCACTTGTCTCATGCATCCAACCTGGGCTGGTGATCTGTTTCACCCTAGATAATATACATGTTTCGATGCTGTTCTCTTGAAACATCCCACCCTCGCCTTCTCCCAGAGTCCACAAGTCTGTTCTATACATCTGAGTCTCTTTTTCTGTTTTGCATATAGGGTTATCGTTACCATCTTTCTAAATTCCATATATATGTGTTAGTATACTGTAATGGTCTTTATCTTTCTGGCTTACTTCGCTCTGTATAATGGGCTCCAGTTTCATCCATCTCATTAGAACTGATTCAAATGAATTCTTTTTAATGGCTGAGTAATATTCCATGGTGTATATGTACCACAGCTTCCTCATCCATTCGTCTGCTGATGGGCATCTAGGTTGCTTCCATGTCCTGGCTATTATAAACAGTGCTGCGATGAACATTGGGGTGCACGTGTCTCTTTCAGATCTGGTTTCCTCGGTGTGTATGCCCAGAAGTGGGATTGCTGGGTCATATGGCAGTTCTATTTCCAGCTTTTTAAGAAATCTCCACACTGTTTTCCATAGTGGCTGTACTAATTTGCATTCCCACCAACAGTGTAAGAGGGTTCCCTTTTCTCCACACCCTCTCCAGCATTTATTGCTTGTAGACTTTTGGATAGCAGCCATCCTGACTGGCGTGTAATGGTACCTCATTGTGGTTTTGATTTGCATTTCTCTGATAATGAGTGATGTTGAGCATCTTTTCATGTGTTTGTTAGCCATCTGTATGTCTTCTTTGGAGAAATGGAATTTTTGGTGGATACTTCGGACTGAATGGTCGGAGAGTCTATTTCTGAGCATACCATCCAGAAACTTCAACCTTAATTACAAGATTCAGAGAAAAAATATTCTCATCAAGGAAATGACAATGATGAAGGCTGAAGACAGGAGCTAGTTATTCTTTAGAAAATAGAAGAAAAATCAGTGTGATCATAAAAAAGCAAGTACAATGGAGAATAGTATAGCATGAGCATAGGGAATAGGTAAATACTAGATTATACATGGCCTCATGAGACAGTGTAAGAGTTTGATTTTATTCTGTCTTCAATGTTGTATCATTTGGTAATAAATCACTCTGACATTTAATGACTTAATATTAATTTATGTTGTTTACATATCTGCAATATTCCATGCAGCATCAGCTGAAAGTTGTTAAACTAGAGGCTAAAATACTCAACATGGCTTACTTGCATGACTGCCACATTGGCATATCAGACGAGAGCTCAGTAAGAACTGTCAACCAGAGAGAGATCTAGGTTCTTCTTCACATGGCCCTCTCCACACAGGCCTTTTGGGATTATACAAACACAGTAGCTAGGTTTTTTTTTTAAGAACAAGCAGTCTAAATGAACTAGAAAGATATAACACACTTTACAACCTTCTCTCTCAAAGCCATATAGCTTTGTCACAGTCCTGCCCAGATTTAAGGGAAGGGAATAACTCTTCATTGGAGAGGTCTCAAAGACATATTGTAAAAAGGTAAAGGGAGCTAGGAGGTAATATAATTGTCATATTTGAAAAATACTATCTGCCACAGTTTGTTTCAGGCTACAACAATTTATACCTCTCCCACATGCAAAAAAAAATATCCTTTCCCTTCCCCAAGACAGAAAAGTCTCATTCCATAATTACATCAGCTCAAAGTTAAGAATCTTATTGTCTAAATCAGACCTAGGTATAGGTGATATGTTTTATGGGCAGTACCTCAAATACAGCTCTTTGAGAACTCTTTTGAATGATGTGTTATCAAGTGAAACATTTGACTCATAGAGCCAATTGTTCTAGGTCTCCAATGGCTCAAAATTTTGGGACAAGCATTGGATAACTGCTATGGACAATCCCATTAAAAATGACAGGTAAGAGGAAGGAACACAGTAATTACTGGTCCATATCAATTCTGAAATTTAGTCACATGTTGCCAGTTTTTTTATTAGAGTTCACTCCTACTCCTTGTTCTCCATAGGTATTTGTTCAACTCAGTCCTTCCCTCTGAGTCCACCTTTCTTTCCCTAAGGCTTCTTAAGAATTGTCTTAAGCAGATTCTCTACTTGTAAATGTTTGAAGGTTCAGAACCCTTCCTCATGTTGTTTTGTTTCTTTTCCTTCTATTACAAGCTGATATAACTCCTTTAACTATTTTGGTAGGCTTTCAATATACAAATTGATTATATATTAATTTATAATTCACTCCAAAATATATTATATAAGCCCAAATCAATCCCAAGTAAGTCATTCTCTTCCTCAACTTCATCATGACACTATGGGAAAACATTCTTAAGATTCTTAAATTCTTATTGTATAATAAAGAGTTCTGCTAATTACAATATTGAGATCCTTAAAACAGTTTTGTCTGTTTGAAAAGTTCTATGAGGAACCATTTCAAATATCTCTGAAAGTCTTTAGCATTAATAAATTTTACAGTAAAATAGATCTTTCCCCTTAAGTCAATGCTTAATTTGAGTACCATTTGTCGCCTAGAGGGATTTGGGAAGAGCAGAAATTTCCTAAGATAGTTTCATACTGGATCCTTTATAGAAGAGTTCATTTTTAGCTTATACATCTCTTTTCCCATTATACCATATTATATGCATTCATGCATTATACACATGATACAATAGTATGCAAGATCATACAATTATTCCTGAATTTTAATCATGTCTTTCCCTTTAATGATCTGAAACAAAACTCCACTCTTCTCGTTTCATTCATTTCACTCTACTGTCTTTAGTTACTGCATTTCTCCAAATTTTATCTGAAAGCATATTAAATGGGAGCTAACCAAATTCGATTTTGGTCTTTGGTCTGCTACTGATTTAGTGTTGACAACTCAGTTTTGTGGTCTTCAGGTTCTTCTTTTGGAATGTATATTTAGACTACATGATAATGGTGGTAAAAATAATACTTTGCATTTGTATAACAATGGAAAATTTTAACACGTTTTGGATGTACTTTTTGCTTTAAATCGTTATGCTCTAAGAGAAGGTGTAAGTTTAAGAAAAAACTACACTTATATCTTTCAATGTTGTTGTTCAGTCAGTAAATCATGTCTGACTCTTTGTGGCCTTATGGACTGCAGCATGCCAGGCTTCGCTGTCCTTCACCATCTCCCTGAGTTTGCTCAAATTCATGTGCATTGAATTGGTGATTGATACTTTATCTTTTAACTGTATATGCAATATATTCTTACAGTATGACTTTGTAATTAAGACTTTGTCTTATGGTTTATGTGTAGATGATTAACTTTCACCACTAGATTGTAAGTCTCAAAATAAGGATTCCCAGGTGGTTCAGCGGTAAAGAATCTGCCTGCCAATGCAGGAGACGTGGGTTTGATCCTCGGGTCACAAAGATATCTTGGAGGAGGAAATAGCAATTCATTCCAGTATTCTTGCCTGGAAAACCCCATAGACAGAAGAGCCTGACAGGCTAGAGTCCAAGCAGTTGCAAAGAGTTGGACAAGACTGAATGACTGAGCACACGTGCACAGTCATAAAACTAGAAAAATTTGCCTTTTCTCTCTCTCTCTCTCTTTTTTTTTTTTTTGGCACATACTGTATATTTAGTGCTGATAATGAAGGTAATGTGCCAATATACTAAGTTTTATTTTTTATAATGATGTCACCTTATTTATGTCCCAGTGAGCTAAGTCACAGAAGTCATATCCGATTCTTTGTGACCCCATGGACTATAGACCACCAGGTCCCTCTGTCTATGGGATTCTCCAGGCAAGAATACTGGAGAGGGTTGCATTCCCTTCTCCAGGTATTTATGTCCAGTATTCTTCTAAATATTTGAAATACATTGTCATCACATGCTAACAGCAACATAAGTTAGGTATTGTCTCTCCAGCAACTGAAACTAAGTACAGAGATGTTAACTAAGGTTGAACAGCTAGTAATTCTAAGTCCATGTCAAGTCCATGATTTTAACCACTAATCTAAACTGTTTCCTTGATTATAGTAAAGTTGGTAGTGATGGTCAAAGAGAATGATGTTAAGAATTTTACAGCTGAGAATTAGTTAAATAAATGGGGCTTAATTCTAAGAATGGGAACCCCGGTGACTCAGCAGTAAAGAATCCACCTGCAATGCAGGAGATGCAGGAGACACAGGTTTGACATCTGGGTTGGGAAGGCCCTCTGGAGAAGGAAATGTCTACCCATTCCAGTATTCTTGCCTGAGAAATCCTATGGACAAAGGAGCTTGATGGGCTACAGTCCATAGTATCACAGAGTCAGATACAACTGACCACACACACACTATTCTAAGAGTAAAATAATTATAGCAATGTGAAGTGAGTTACACAGAGGGAATTAGCTTGCAAGTGGGTTAATACTTCCAGAACAAAGGGAGAGAGTGAACAGAAAAAGACTAGGAAAACCAGTTGTCTGAAATGAAGGTGTGAAGTATAATCATTTTTATGGTATTAATGGAATATGGCCAATCAAAATTTGATCATTATACTAAATAAACTTCTCTGATTACAGATCCACAAGAAAATCACATTTAATCCTATTTCTAGAAACACCCAAAGTTAAACTGAATTGATAATCAAAAATATAATGTGTATAACAATATCAATATCAATATAGAAATATCAGAATATAATATAAAACATATAAAGAAATGTATTATAAAAGATTGACTTACATAATTATGGAAGCTGAGAAGTTGAGTATAGTCAGCAAACTGGAGACCCAGGAGAACTGATGTGTAGTCCCAGGGTGAGTCCAAAAGCCTGAGCACCAGAATTGATGGTTAATGTTCCAATTCAAAAGCTGGCAGTCTTGAGACCCAAGAAGAGCCAATGTTCAGTCTGAAGCCAAAGGATATAAAAGACAACATCCTAGCTCAAAGAGTCAGACAAGAGGAGTTTCCTGTTGCTCAGTCTTTTTGTTCTATGCAGATCTTCAACTGATGGAATGAGGCTCATCCACATTAGGGAGGGCAATCTATTGTAATCAGTCTGTTGAGTCAAATGTTAATCCCATCCAGAAACACCCCCTATGACAAGCTCAGAACAATGTTTTCCCAAATATCTGGGAATAATAATATAATGATTTTATTTAAAATTATAGATGGAAATATTTTTACCATCTTATAAATACCAGACAAATATGTATGTATTTACTAATTTGTTGCTGTTTAGTAGCTCAGTCATGTCCAATATTGTGACCCTTGGACTGTAGCCTGCCAGGCTCCTCTGTCCATGGGATTTCTCAGGCAGAAACACTGGAGTGGGTTGTCATTTCCTCCTCTAGGATATCTTCCTAACCCAGGGATTGAACCCACATCTCCACATCTCCTTCATTTCAGGAGGATTCTTTACTGGTACTGAAGTAATTTTTATATGCACTTAGATGCATATATTTGAGGAATACAATTCATTGAGCTTTTATGTACACTTGTGAAAGCATTATTCCAACAAAGGAAAAGAGCATTTCACTCATTCCAGAAAATCCACTTGGACCCTCCTCTAATCAATCTCCTGACTGTTGGGTAATGATTTTTCTAATTCTTATTATTATAGAGGTATTTTGCTTGTTCTTGAACTTCATGTAATGGAAATATACAGTATGTACCTTTGTGTGAATGGCTTCTTATATTTAATAAAATTTCCTTGAGATTCATCCAGGTTGTAATATATATTAGTAGCCCATTCTTTAAAAAAAAAATTACTAAACAGCATTTCCCCTATAAACATATGTAGCTCTTTATTTATACACTTACTAGTGGATGGACATTTGAGTTGTTGCCAGTTTGGTGCCATTATGAAAAATCTGCTTTGATCCTTTTTGTATAAGGTTCCTTGTGGACATATGTTTATATATCTCTTTGGTAAATAACTAGAATTGCTAGTTCATAAACTATTCACATGTATGTGTGTGTGTGTGTGAAGTCATTCAATTGTGTTTGACTCTTTGAAACTCCATGGACTGTAGCCTACTAGGCTCCTCCATCCATGGGATTTTCCAGGCAAGCGTACAGAGTGGGTTGCCATTTCCTTCTCCAGAGGATCTTCCCCACCCAGGGATCAAACCCGGGTCTCCCGCATTATAGGCATACACTTTACTGTCTGAGCCACCAGGTAAGTCAGACACATGTTTATAAAGATATAAATATATTAATTATACATTTGAAGGAAATACAAAATAGCAAATATGTTAATCCTTTTTAAACATTCACCAGAAAAATATGAGATCCATTCCACACCTTTACCAAATTTGATGCTGTCAGTCTTTCTAATGTTAGCCATTACACTAGGGGTGAAATAATATCTCATTATAGTTAGATAATTATTTTCTCAATAGAACAACTAAATCTGTTGAAAAATTATGTCAAAAAACATAATTTGCAATACATTGTGGCAAAAATGTGAGTCTTTGGGCTAGATCTTGAATATTTAAATTACAAATATGGAACTAAACAGTGACTACATATCTGGGGCCCTTCAACATAAGCAATAACTTCTTTTTCCTTTCTCTTTATTTTTTGTAGAGTTTGCCATAAATCTCATTTTTTGCTTACCTCCATGATTAGGGAAATAAAAGTTTTTTTTTTTTATTAAGTTGTCCTAATTAGTTAAAAGTAAATACTACTGTGAGTTTTTGCTTAAAGTTTAATTGGCACGTATTTTATGGTTCAAAATCACTTTGATGGTTTTCTGTTGAAGGTATTTTCTAATTAAAAAATTAAAAAGTGAAGTAACATAAATAAGGATGCATGTTAGAATTTGAATTTTTGTCAGATGGCAGTAAGAGAATTATGTACAGGTTCTATATGATCTTTAGATTAATTTTTAGCCTCTCAGTATTAGCTAGCTTACACAAAAATTATATACAGGCCAGAATCAAACAAGTCAGTTTTTAACTATCTAGTTTAAAATCACCTGCAATTATGGTGTCTGCGGTACTCTTCACTCCTTCGGCAGCTTCAGGTCGGGGCTGGTGGGAGGGAGTTGAGGGACCACACCTGGGCTGCTGGACCTTCCACAGGAGTTGCTGGCTGCCACCTGCTAATGAAAAGGATGTTTCACCCGCACCTACTGTTGGAAATTTTCCCCAGGCAGAGGAGATAACCAAGTTCCCACATAGATTAGTGCTGACAGCAGCCATATAGGTGAGGGTGAGGAGAAAAAGGTAACCACGAAGGCACNTTCCTTTTTTGCATATAGGGTTATCGTTACCATCTTTCTAAATTCCATATATATGTGTTAGTATACTGTCATGGTCTTTATCTTTCTGGCTTACTTCGCTCTGTATAATTGGTTCCAGTTTCACCCATCTCATTAGAACTGAGAATCTGAATTTTTGTCAGATGACGGTAAGAGAATTATGTACAGGTTTTATATGATCTTTAGATTAATTTTTAGCCTCTCAGTATTAGCTAGCTTACACAAAAATTATATACAGGCCAGAATCAAACAAGTCAGTTTTTAACTATCTAGTTTAAAATCACCTGCAATTATGGTGTCTGCGGTACTCTTCACTCCTTCGGCAGCTTCAGGTCGGGGCTGGTGGGAGGGAGTTGAGGGACCACACCTGAGCTGCTGGACCTTCCACAGGAGTTGCCGGCTGCCACCTGCTAATGAAAAGGATGTTTCACCCGCACCTACTGTTGGAAATTTTCCCCAGGCAGAGGAGATAACTAAGTTCCCACATAGATTAGTGCTGACAGCAGCCATATAAGTGAGGGTGAGGAGAAAATGGTAACCATGAAGGCACCTGGAAAAGATTAAGGCCTGGGTCCGTAAGAAAGAACGAAGGCACACACCCCATTGGAGGATGGTAACTTCAAGCTGAACAGAAGACTCAAAGGACACTGCCCTGTTACCTTGCCATGAGTCAATCAGAAAAACGTCATACACCCTTCAGCTCTCACCTCAAATTTTACCTTTAAAGACTTCTCTCTGAAATCATCAGGGAGTTCAGGGTTTTGGAAGCCAAACCATTCATCTTCATCCTTAGGCCCTGAAATAAATCTTTCTATGTTTCCCTGACCCCTGCCCTTCCAAATCAAATGATGACAGCATCCTTTCCTTCAGTCTTTTATGTAAAGTTAAGTAGGACTTTGAGACTGGTTGACCACAGACATGCTGTGTTTGATTTGCAGAGTGTTCAACATTTTTAAAAATTCCATATTTGAAAATATGGATTGTAACATAAACATTCTTATCTGACTTCCTTGAGAGATAGGAACATCTGAGGAAATGGCAGCCACATTCAGGCCAGGAATCAACTGAAGGTGGGTAGTGACTTCCACTTGACCTACTCCTTTTCCTATTTGGAACCAGTTTGTTGTTCCATGTCCAGTTCTAACTGTTGCTTCTGGACCTGCATACAGATTTCTCAGGAGGCAGGTCAAGTGGTCTGGTCAGATATCCCCATCTCTTTCAGAATTTTCCATGATTTATTGTGATCTACACAGTCAAAGGCTTTGGCATAGTCAATAACGCAGAAATAGATGTTTTTCTGGAACTATCTTGCTTTTCTGATGACCCAGCAGATGTTTGCAATTTGATCTCTGGTTCCTCTGCCTTTTCTAAAATCAGGTTGAACATCTGGAAGTTCACTGTTCACGTATTTCTGATGTCTGTCTTGGAGAATTTTGAGCATTACTTAACTAGCGTGTGCTGCTGCTGCTAAGTCACTTCATTTGTGTCTGACTCTGTGTGGCCCCATGGATGGCAGCCCACCAGGCTCCCTGTCCCTGGGATTCTCTAGGCAAAAACACTGGAGTGGGTTGCTATTTCCTTCTCCAGTGCATGAAAGTGAAAAGCGAAAGTAAAGTCACTCAGTCGTGTCCGACTCGTAGCGACCCCACGGACTGCAGCCCACCAGGCTCCTCCGTCCATGGGATTTTCCAGGCAAGAGTACTGGAGTGGGGTGCCATTGCCTTCTCC